ATGTATAGGTATATACAACCACTTTTTATATACCGGTAAAGTAAAACAACAAACGTTAAGGCGTTAAGCCGTCTCCTCAGGCTGTGAGGTGTTAATCAGAATGATGTCCTCCAAGACATATAAAACAGCTGAAGTCTCTTATTTAACAGGTTATTGCATAGGGGTATTAAATAGGTATTTATATAAATAGGTATTTATATATAGTTATTGTCATGACGGTGCATGATGGGGATTCTTAACAAGAATAATTGGTCCAGGATAATTGCAAGAAGGAAATTTATTAGATAATGACAATGATAGATAATGATAATGTTTACTTTTCTTAAAATTGTTGTACGATTCATAAGGGCCACACAATGTATTCAATGCATCATTTGATTTTCAGTTTGGCTCCAAATGATCACACCTAGAAAATAACATTAATTGTTTTGTTGTGGCATGTGCTGTTTTGCAAGTATGCTATTATTTTCCCCCTTACCCCTGCATGCTCTTTCCCTTTCAGGGGCTTGCACATCATTTTGCAGCTGTGCCTCCAAAACTGATGCAAAGTGGTGGACAGGGAGAGGACAGTGGTAAAACCATTACACTGGTGGTTATGAATTGTCTCATTATCTGTAAAAACCAGCCAGTAGTCGAAGTACCATCTACCAAAACAGCCCAGGCACAACATGGAAAGGAAAAAAAAAAACATGTTGATGAGACATAAACAGAGACAGTGGCTGCTGCATTCATTCTGTCTTTCATTATGACAGAAATAGCTGAAGTCATTTTATCTGTGGTAGCATTATAAAATCTATGACATATAGGGATCAAAAAGATATTATGTACAATCAGCATTAACAGAGTGGCTGTATATAGCTGAAATTTAAACTTGAATTGAGCTTTGAGCAACTAATACAGAAAGTAAAGAGAATGAAGGAACAAGTATTCTTTCGTTTTTGCAACATGTTGAATGACTGGAATTGATTTTGATGCTTTAGAGTGGACCGCACACAAAACAATGCTTAAATCTATTAGATAATGTGCAGCAGGCAAGAAGATTTGATGGATTGTCAGGGAGGCCATCTATCCTCAAAAATGTGTGTTCATCACCAAAAATTAACCCTTGAGACAACAGTAGAAACACAAAAATCTGGTCAGCAATTAAAAGACAGGTTTGATTGCTGCAATGGCAAAACATATGTTTTCACTAGTTATTGAGAAAGGTATGAATACTTTCTGACCAGATATTTAAAGAAAATTTCAATGCCAAATAAATACAGGTCAATTTTTTAAGAAGTGATACACCTTTTACATTGTTTTATAATCATGTGAGAATAACGCTTATCTTTGTCTCACTGGTCTAAAGAGACATGCTAAAGACTTTTGCATACTTTAATAAGGTTGTTAGAAAATTAATAATTAAAAAAAAAGGTTAAAAAAACAATCCACTGGACTTTGTTTCCAAGTTTGAAGACATTTCACTTCCCAATGCCCCATACCCGTCTAAAAAAATTACAGGCTAACAAAAGAGGCCAAATGACCCCCATTCCAAAGGGGTGGACCCGGTCGTCCGTTTCAATTAGCATATTTTTTAAAAAAAAGCAAGGTTTTGATGGTTTAATGTATAAAACCTCGAACTTAACGCTATTCCTGACATTTCAAATTGAAAAAGCTTCCTGTATGGGAAGCTAAACATCATCAAACTTGGAAACAAAGTCCAGTGAATTGTTTTTTAACCTTTTTTTCTGGAATGACTACGACCTGGATGACTGAGAATCTTCACCAACAAAATAAATGATAATCATGGCTGTTGATTTTAAAGGAAAACATATAGTTTTTCCTCTTTATTTATTTTTTATGTGCTTGAATAAGGATACCTATGCCTTGTTTGAAAGCTATTTGACAATCGGCAGCAAGCCCCAAATCATAGTCCCCATTTTTAAGGGTATATGCAACGTTTTAGAGCAATATGGTTTTTACTAAATCGGAAAGATGGTACAGTTTTATAGTTATATGATTACTTCCGATTTGATTAAATCATCAGGAGAAAAAGCATTTTTTAAAGATAATTACTAATGTTGTAGACATGACAGGATTTCAGTAGGACACTGCTGCACCCTAAATGCACCAGGAAGCATTATAACAGATTCTTCCCCCCCGGCAGCTGCAAGTCTTTATAACCATCACTGTTCCCAACAACCTCAATAAGTTGTTACATTCATGCTGATTTTGCACAGTTTCTATCTTAGTCAGTTAAATAACATGCTGCTTTCATTTTGCACATCTCTGATGTTGCTGCTATTTTCAAATATCCATTTATGTAAAAATGTCCATAGCTGTATATTGATTATTTATTCTCTAGATGCAAAGTATTTATATTGTTAAAACACTTTTCAGTACAGTATTTCATTTGTTTATTTTTAATTCTTCCCTATTATGTTATTCATATACACTTTTCTAAGGTCCACATTTGTGTGACCATTTTTTCTAAATTCTTTTTCCTGCTGTAAACACCAGAATTTCCCTATTGTGGGACAATAAAGGCATTCTATTCTGTTTATTACTAAATCTGATCAAAGAGGTCTCACAGCGGTAATTAACAAAAGAAATAAAAATAAAAGACCCTGCCAGTCTTTTACGGTTTTACAGTCTGTTTAGTTCAAATTACCCATATCTACTGTAGTCTCTTTACTTTGACACAGATGTATCATTTCAAGCCTCATAGTTTGAGAATAATTGGTAATGAAATTATAAAAATGATAAGGTGAAAGCAGTTGTTCCTCCATTGTTTACAAGACGCATAACTCAAATCAGAATCAAAAAATGCTTCAGTTTTATTTTGGTGATAGAGTGCTAAAACCTACAGCTAATAAAAAAAAATAAACAACTGGATTAAAACATTTGGGGAAAAAACAGATTGCAAAAAGAGCACCATATACAACTCTCCGCTAACATTTTAACAAACTTTTTATTTGATTAAAATACTTGCTGAGAATCTATAACCTCTTAGTAACATTTTAGCCTCCTGAAAACATTCTTTTTTAACTGACTCAGCATTTCTATAGTTGCTCGGAATGAAATACAGTTAGAATTTACAACCAATTAGATAACCATTTTAACCTTATTAAGTATTTTGCCTAAAGTAAACCCCACCCCACCACCACCATCCAGAAACACCATAAGGAAGGAATAATCAACTTATAAAAAAATAAATGTAGATTATTATTCTAAGTTAGCCATGTTGACCTGATCTTTGTCTAATGAAAAAAGAATCTTAAAAAGCTTGATAAACTTTCTTAGAAAACTGTTTATGACTACAAGGACTCCAACTAAATGTATGCCCTGCTCCACCATCTCATCCAGTCCAACCTCACAGTCTCCACCCTCCAGCTTTCAGACTGACTTGAAGGCCTCACTAGAGATGGACAGACAGATGGGTGGAAAAGAGAGAGGAGGTTGAGAGAGACATAAGGAAGGAAGGAGGAGAGGGATACATATGACCCACTTTGCAGAGCCTAGAGTATTTTTAGAAGTAAGTGTCCTAATTGGTGAGCCACTGGGAGAGCAACAGCACTGGACTGGTGCCCTACTCCTTGTCCTTCACCTCTGCAACCTTTTTATTTTAGCGTTCTTTGCTTTCTTCCATTACCCCCTTCCTCCTGTATTCGATCTGAAAACCTCATCACTCTTTGTCGTGCCATTTCCGCCTCCTACACTTCACTGATCAGTGACCTTCATCTTTCCTCTTCCATTCAACCCTCCTCCTTCCTTGCCCTCATTTTACCTCGCCCTCTCTCTAGTTTTACCTCTTCATCAGTTATTGTAAGAAAGGAAGTCTCTCACCACTTTGTTCCGTTAGAGTCTCAAACAGCTATGTATTTAGATGGAAAATGTGTTAAAAAAACAACAACACATCATACAAATCGATAAATAATTAATACGTTGGACAGTGGAAAGGAATAGATATGCAGTGTTTTGAAAATGTTTTTTAAATACAAAGTGTGCCACATCTAGCACCGCCTTGAAGTTAACTTTTGCTAAAATTGTCGGTGCAAGTTCTTTTGTGGTATCAGTAAATTTTTTTCACATCTAGAAACTGAAAGTTGCATTCATTACAAAATAGGTTAATCAGATTAAAAATAGAAAAAAACACACCATACCACTGCAAAGCAATTAAAATGTGGCAGTTCACCTAAACTTACAGAGACCCACAGAATTAATCTGAGAAGCAAATCTGGCCTCAAACTTCACTTTTTTTTTATGAATCATACAAAACGATGGGTGTAGAAAAACCATATCACTGCCCTAAGCTAATCATCCTCACTGTTAGTCATGGTGATGGCAGCATTATGCTGTGGAGATTTTTTATTCCTCAGGGTCAAGGGTGATTGTCAAGATTGATGGAAAAGCAAAGTTAAATATAGTCTAACTATATTCTGAATAAATATGAGAATAAGGTCTGCCTTGAGCATTCAGACTCTGACCCTTATGCAATGAAATAGTTTTGCATTAAATCATGTTTATATGAGCAATCTAGTAAATGTTAAGATCTTCATCTAATTACGAATTTATGGCAAGATTTTAAATTGAATCATAACAGATGCTCTCCATCGAGATTATGAGTTGAATAGAGCTCTGTGAGATGGTCAGACCTTGTGACATAGTAGTCCCACCTAACCTGTTCCTTTGTGTTTATGATATTTGTTGACTAATACTCTCTAATGAACCTCTCCCTGCTTGACACAACAGTTGTACTTACTCTGAGATAAGTTAGAGGTGATTTATTTATGCATATCTGAGAAAAAATGGCAGAAAATAATTGTATGTCCCTTTCAGCATTTTATTTGCCTGAAGAAAAATGTTAATATGCTGCATAAAATAAAACAAGACTTTTTGAGAAACTATAGGGAAAAAAACAAACCTTAATCATCTTAGACCAAGAAACATGTGGGTAGTGAAAATATCTAAAGAATAAAAATACCAACAAAACAATAATATAAAGAAAAGAGAGAACTCACGAAGAAAGTATTCTGAAGCATCTGCCTCGTAGTCAGCGTCCTCAGGGAAGTGGTCTATCTGTTTACACATGCCCTTAAAAGAACCTGCATGTAGAAAAAGGGAGAATAAAAAAAAGTTAGAAATAGACAGTGCATTAAACATCTTAAAAAGTTTTTTAAAAAAATCTGAAAATATGTAAGACATTTAGTGAGTGTAAATGTGTGACTGTGTTTTCTGTCATGGAGAAAGGCATTTTTTTAAAGAAGAGAATAAAGCTAGAGAAGATTGCAGAGATCTTAAAAAAAGGAATGAAAAGGACAAAGGCTTTCTATGCTCTGAAAAAATATCCATAGGTTCTGCTTAATGAAGGTGTGTCCTTGGTTGAGGGGTGGTTGAGTTCAGGGCAGGAGGAGAGAATTAGCCAAGCGAATGGAAGGACAGAGAGCAGCTCGTTAAGGCAGAGCATATGGGGGGGCTTGGTTCAGCTCCAGTGCTAATTGTATGCCCTCCCTCCCAAACCACTGCAATTAAATGGGCCCTTGTTAATTGCCAATTAGGAAGAAAGACCAGCACTTGGCTTTCGGATGGGCAGCAGTTAACATAAACACAAACACAAACACCCACACTTAAATTTGCCTCACGCAGGCAGCCATATGCACACATGCAAGGATTTACACTGCAGCATCGGGCCTGCTGCTGAAAAAATTTTGATGGAAACTTTAAAATACATGGAGATTTTAACGTGACCGTGCGAAAAAGTGTAATATGTTAGTAAGACTAAATTAAATCTATTATGTCTCGTCGTTTCCTCCACATCACACCAAAAAAAAAAAAATTCTCATTTTGTGGAACTTGGCTTTATTGAACAGGTTTAAAGAAATAAATCTGCAGTCAGAATTTTTTTTTCTTCATTTTTTCCACATTAAAAAATACATTTATTTCTATTTTCACTCTGCATTCTTTTCCCCCAACGACAGTAACAAATGGTAAGCAAGCAATTTAGGTATGTTTTAGGACAGAGGTCTTCAACAGGGGGTCCGAGGTACTGCATGAGGGTCACAAAAGTTTTGGTTGATTTTTTTTATTTATATTCCCCCCTGCAATTTTTTCCACTAATTGAAATGTCTTTAAATACACATTAACATGAATTCAACACACTGTAGTAAACAGATAAATGGAGGCAGAAGATTATTCAGCGACACACAGGAGCTCTTTCAAGATGGGCAACATTTCATTCACAACACCTGTCCCATCAACCAGGAATACTTTATTAATCCCAGGGAGAGATTACTTTCATTACATGACTCCATCTGTAATAGAGTGACTATAGGATCAGTTTGATATAACACAATTTCATACAATATTTATAATTAGGGGGTCCCCGCTCCACCTCGCCATTAGTTTGGGGGTCCTTGGCCTGGAAAATGTTGAAGACCCCTGCTTTAGGAAATAGAAGTAGTCAATGAAATGATCTTATATGGAAAATATGAAAGTATCAATCTAATGTCTGGTTGACATAATGTGAGAAGCTGGACTGATAATGTGTAGCACTCTGATTTTAACCAGGCCAGTCATCCTGGGAAGGATAGTAGATACATCTTTCAAAGGCGGGACCCAGGAGTCAGTGGAAGCTACTAAGAACCAATCAGATTTATACAGATGTGATGCAAAAAAACATATTATTATGCTCCGTAATGTGCCAGAGGGAGGCAGGACTATCATGGAGAGTCTTGCACCAGACAGCCTTATGCCCGGGGTAAGACAGTCTGGCTGGCCACACTAATTCTATACATTATTAGTCTGGTAAGCTCACATCAAATCTGTTTAGGGAAAGGAGGGTCATTACGTAGAAACTCACAAGCCTATTGGGCGAAGGAACACCAAGTGCCTGCCAAAGTTTGGTTTAGCCAATGATAGAAACAAATGAAATAGAAGCAGAGGCAATGAGAAACCAAAATTTCTGCTTTTACACTCTTGCTGTTCCTCTTTCAAAGATAATATAGTAGATTCTGACAAAACAGATGTGATAGATCCAGCAATATGTTCATCTCAGACGTCAGGGGGATATGTTTTCTAGTGTTCTACTGAGATATCACCTCTCACTAACAGGCACAGTACAACTCTAGAGTACTGTTACAAAATCTAAAGTTTTAGCTATTAAACTATAGTTAAGTTTGACATGACATGTACATAATAAGCACCTTAATAAGTACCAAATGACCACCCTACACAAGAAATCTTGAAATACTTTCATGAAAGTATTGCACTGTACAAATCTTAAGGGCATGTATTGGAAAGAAAAAAACTTTTAAAATTTCGAAAAGAAACTTTACAACTGTTCAAGTAGGTTTGCTCAGATTGAAATACATCAAAAGCTTTGCTATGTAGCAGAAGTAATGATAAATTTACAATGCTACTATTTCTTACTAAAACAGATTAATCATGGCTTTGTTTGATACTTTATAAAAGTTAGCTGAGTTTTGGAAAACATGTTAATATGTGACATGTTCTGTTAATAAAATATATTGTTGTTCCATAAAGTTTTAGCATATTAACAATGAATGCGGCAGTGATCTCAATGTGAATGGCATCCTCTTTAAATTAGTACACACAATGACTATAATTTAGTCAGCATTTAACATGTCTTTGTCTGTCAGCATCATAAAACTTTCCCTATAGCAGTTGCTAGGTGATATACAAAGTAGAAGATAAAACTAAGACACTGTTCTTGCTCTCATCACTCCCACAACTTTAATTACAATACAATTTGTGTCTGTGTTTGTGTTTAATTTATTGCTATGAGCACTGGTGCTTTCAGGTGATTATCTCACGATTTGACAAATGGATCACTGTGTAGGAACTCCATCACGCTCCAGCATTTCTTCTCCCACTGACACAACTCTCTCTCTGTCTCTTTTTTCCTCCGTCTATCCCTTTCACTAGATCACTCACTTGCTCCAACACATGCCCACCCACGCTGCACCACAAGCACATGTAATCTGGAATTGCTTCTTCCCTATTTTCTCTTCTTTCTCTCTCCCTGTCCCCCCTCTCTGAGTCTTTCACCTGCCCTCCTGTCAGTTTTTCACATGCAGAAATGTTGGTGCGTGTACCCTGAAGACCAGATTCCCATTGGAACAAAGCTGCCAGCTACGAGCCTTTCCTTCATTCTTTGCGCTTCTTTCTCTTTACGCCTTCTGCTGTTAAAATTAAAAGCTCACTTTACTGCACCAACAGGAAAGAGGAATGTATTGTACATTTTATGTTGGGTTCTGGGGATAGTAAAACATGCACTTAATGGCAGTTAGATTAAATTTACCTCAAATTTTGAATATAAAATAGACAACTTTAGTGAAGACAAAAATAAAATGTTATCAAAGGAACACACCAGATGAGATCGGACTGCTTAAGTTGTTTCTTTGGACAGCCCAAGCCACGGTGGATGAGGGTGCATGTTTTAAATACAATATGACAAAATCCCATTGACTTCCAATCATTTTCTACCCTTCTACAGAACTAACCACTTACTCTAAACCTAACCATTGCCCAACCCCAACCTTAACCTAAATCCCACTCAATGCCAACAAAGTGAGGACCAATAAAAAGTTCTGACTTTACAAGTAAAATACAGAAAAAAAAATTTCTTACTTTGCAGCAAGCACAATTATGCGTGTGCCGCCATGTTTTTGTCACCTTGTGGAGGCAATCTCCCAGAAATATACTACATTTTGGGGACTTATGGGTATAGGTACTTGTGGGGACCAATGGCTGGTCCCCATAAGGATAAGTTCTCTTCTTGGGCACGGCGTTAGGTTTAGGACTAAGGCAAACCTGCCCTAGAGGGCAGCTCTCCTGCAGGTTTTGAGGTCTGCCTCCTTCAGCACAGATGATTCTGATAATTGCAGTTCAGCAAAAGCCTGTTAATCAGCTATCTGGAAAAAAGATGTGCTGAAACAGAGAAACCTCTAATACCTTCAAGGACGAGGCCCTTGAGCGCCCACTTTGGGCAGACCTGGACTGGACTAATGGAGTTTAGGTTAGATTTAGGATTAAGTATGGGCCTTTCCCAATCAGTGGCTACTCCCTCACCCTACCCAATTCTCCCTCCGTTTACCGTGCCTGCGGAGGGGCCGGCCATATTAAGTCCAATCTGAAACCAATTGTACGAGTGTGAGTGGCTAATAAGGCCCTCCATAGCGAGTGAGGATGTTTCCCACTCAGGCAGCAGGTGCAGCACCAAATTGTGGTCGACATTAATAAGGGGACGTAGCTCCCGCATATGTGTAACATACTTTCATTGAATAAAGAAACAGCTTATCCACAAATATTACTTAACATAGGCTATAGAAACCATTCTGTTAAAGGTGCAAATGTTTTGACAACTTATGTCACTGTTTGTTCTGTTTGTTACAAATAATATGATAGCTGAAAACTCTCAAATGCGGGCCTAATTAAATATTTTCTTTGATCTATTAAAGGAGATTTAATATTATAATTTATCATTACAGGGTCCAAACGTTAAACTCAACAGCACACAGTGATTCACCTCTTGATGCAGAAGCATTAACACATAAAACCTGTGCGCAGAGCCATAGCAACACATTAAAAATCTACTGAGGCACACTGAAATATTTTCATAAAAGAACAGTAATATATACAAAATGTGACGTATGTAAAAACAGAAAAGAAACTCACTGTATTAATTTAATGGATAGAAACATTAGTTCAAAAACAAACATCCTCAAAGTCTGTAGAACTTCTACATAATAATTTAAATAAACAGACACTGCTGTGAGGGGAATATATTTTTAATTGGGATTATAAATGTAGGATGAATATGGGGCCTTTTTAATATGTTTTTTCTTAAACTTCTGCATTCATAATTTCCACGATCTTCGTTTGCTTAAAGACGTTTTTTGTTTCTTCAGGAGTAAATAACTGCATGTACACTGATGCTCTCTTAAGTTCTTGTGTCTACAACAGTTAAAGGATGCACCTCTCAGCTTTTGCGCATCTATGTGATAACTCAAACAGCCCATCAACTCATCCCTCTGTCTCTTCCCTCTCCTCTGTCCTAAACCGGTGTATTGATGCCTTGTCCAAA